CCAGGTGTTTATCCTATTGGCATTTTGCTGCACAAATGTAAACAAAGCAATCATTTAATAAAACCCCCAGTGTTTTGTAACAATTCTACAAGGAAGAATGGATTAACATTTTTCCATTTCCAAGTCTACAAAAGACACATTACCATCATTAAGGGTGGCCCAACAACGTATGATGTGCAGGAGCAATTACTTTTTCACATTGGCTCAGGTTCTTCTGGATCTCACCACTGACAATAAGCAGTGGAGCAAACTTTCACTGACAATTCATCCATGGATTTTCTTCTGTGGAACATAACTAAACTTTGTTCTATTAATTTTTTTTATTGGAAAGAAAATCCTGCTTAGAAAGCTGAAATGTCCAGGCATAAAGTTAAGTTGCCAGTCTAGGAATCCATTTATTTTTCTAGGCACTGATTGTTACAGGAGCCAGAATAAGGAAGACTAACTTCTCCTGTAGTACGAAGAACGTTTGAGCTGTGCATATCAACGCACATTAACCCTCAATGACCTAAGTTTCATGTCTGTTTATGCTTATGCTTATTCATATATATTTGTCTATTTACACATAACAACGGGGAGTTTCAATATCTATCAACTTATTTTCACAATTTACCATCTATTAAAAGTGTGTCCCTCAGATTAATTTCACTCCCTGCTACAGCAGGGGGTGAAATTATTGTAATAACTATTGCAGGGTGGAGGAGAACATACAGAAAAATCCAAGCCGACATGCAAACAGGAAGTGTGTTCCTTTGTCGGTGTCGGTGCTACTCACCGCCACACATGCTGCTCCTCAAGGACAAGAAAAAGAGCCAACTTGAATGACTGTAATCAATTTGGCCCTTAACACAGACACAAGCTTTGAGGAAAGTGTGTCAGCTTTAGTAATGGGGCAGCACTGCTTGAATACATCAGAGGTAGCTGTCAGCCAGGCTGTCAGACGCTCACAGTTGAGAGTGATCCATCCATATGCAGGCCTTCTGCTGCTGGTAGCTGACATGTCAGTCAAGCTGCCTGCTTTGTCAGAGCCGCTGTTATGAAAAGCCTGAGTCCCACTTTGACCAAACAAAATGTGGCATACTGTAAAAAGACCTTGCAGGACTGAATAATCAGCGTCATTGGGACTGTGAGGAACTGGGGGAATCCAGGAAATGACAAGGTCACACAATGCCAGTATGGAAGTAATGTCCTCTGCTCTGTTTCAGGAACATCCTCCTCTTTGAGAGTTGATTGGGTGCTGCTTTCAAGGTGTCAAGATAATCAATTAATTAGCAGTACCTTGCTATCACAGTCAAAAGTGCAGCTTTTGACTGTGATAGCAAGGTACTGCTTATTAATTGACACTTTTTCTGTATATGAAGGCCTAACTGCCCTTTTGTATGTTTTGCAATGTAACCTTTTGCGTAAGCTGACTTTTTCAAGCCCAGTTTTGGGGGTAGGGCATTTCATACTTTTTTTTTTTTTTTTTTGTTGGTTTTTATGTTTTGGTTTTCTTGGAATTTTGAATTTCTTTCCAAAATGTCAAACTGCACAATGATTTGATCAACGCAGACCCAGCTTGTGACAGTGTGGTATGTTACTTCCTTACTGCTTCTACAGAGATGCAAACACGGGCAGGGATATTGTTTTCACAGTGAGTCTGTGAAAACAAAACTTTCTAGTTCCCAGTGACCGTATGTGAAACTCTTTTGCTGTAAACTTAAACTGCGTGATGATGGAACAAACCCTTTTACCAGGGTTTAAAATACAAATCTTCTGTGTTAGTCATCAAATTCCTGTTGAGATACATAACCAGTGTACCAGGTCTGTGGATGGTTAAATTAATAGCAACAGGCTCTGCTCAAAAAGCTCAACCACCTTGGTACGTCGCTCCTCTACCATGTTACTCAACACACACTGCTGATGACACGATTGGTTCCCCACAGCGGTGGAAGTGGGGTTGTCACTCAATGCACCAAAGTTTTAAGGCACCCGAACATAACCAGTTTAAGAACAAGAGTTATCTTGTTCTTAAACAAGGTAATTTGTGGAATTCCTCTGCTGTATTATTTTCTGAAAAGACCATCTGTCCTGTAATGTGTTGGAATTTGCAAGCATAAGGAGTAAAACATGCAACAAAAAAAGAGCCAAAAACCAATTTTAAAAAGCAAGAGGAAAGTCTTGGGAACTAACTACCATGACCACATCAAACATTAAAAATTGTTTCAACCAATTTATGCAAATTTTGAACAAAGATTTAAAATGTCAAAAAAAAAAAAAAAAACTAAACTAAAATTATTAGCTGTGTTTTCTTCTACTGGCCTGGTTTTAATTAACCAGACTACAAAAAGCATAACTTTGTCAGATATTGATGCTGCATGACTCTGAAAGACAGGAAGTAGAAGGTGCAAACTAGAATGAAACCCACATATCTGAAAAATCAGGAGGGGTTTTCAGGAATCTCCTGCTTGTCAACTAACAGTGGCAATGCCACATGCTGTCCGAAGACATGGAAAGAAGTGCAATTCTAGTGATTCATGATCATGAGGTAAACACTTCAGAACTTTTTTTCTCTCCATCTCTTCATTAGCACATTAACTTTTAAAAAATGCTAAAAACCACTTCAAGCAAGTGTAAAAGTTTTTGTTTTCTAAAATGTGATTTTGAATTTTGCCATTCCCATCAATCTTTTCTAATGCCATATTTTAAAATGATCCAATCGATCCACCAGGTCTTACTGACAGAATTCAAATAAGTATTTATTAGAGTGATGATAATGTCACCCCTTTGTTTGACTCAGGACTCCTGATTCATTTTAAATGTTACCATCTTTAAAGTTTTACTTTCAACTCAAAAGAACACATGGAGCCCTGAACAAATTAGTTATTACAAGGATATAAAGTGGTTAATATTAAAGCATATTATACAGCAGCCAAACAGGAAAGATTTTCTTTTTCTTCTTTCCTTGAAGAAAATGAAAATCTTTGAGGTTATCAGCCATGATAATGAGTGCATGAGGCTTGCAGGTGAGCAGTTCATGAATTAAGACTGAAGCTATGTGTGAGCCAGAACCTGGAAAACATGGAGCAAGAGCTTAAACTCGAACAGAAGCTAAGATTTCAGAAAAACCTTCATTCTTAAAAACACCAGCTTTGAGTGAGAGCAGCCATTAATTGGCTACTGTCCTGAGTAAAATTTTCCCCAAAAATAACTATAAAACCGATTTAAATAAGCTTTATTTAGAAAATATACTTTATTAGTTACAAATATTACAGTCGTGTTTAATAGTTTGGAATAACATAAATACAACTAAACAATAAGGAGGCCAAACTAACATCAGCAAAGTCAAAGGTGGGTGAGCAGGAACGTCTGGAGCCCAAGGGAACCCAACAGCTGGCCATAGTACCAACAAGGGAGGAAGAAGAGCAAGTCTTCAGAACCCGGATTAGATGAGAAATAACTTGTCTCCATCTCAGGCGCATCCGGATCCTTACTGAAAGGAAAAACCTAGAGACACATTGAGAGGAGGTTATGATATTTATCATCACACACTAATTACTCAGCTAAATATGTTGCCTTTTGCTACACTCAGCTGATTTGGTGTCCAACCCGTATGTCCCTTCCTGCTTGTGGTAGATCCATGTGGAAGGGAGTTACTGTTGCTTGAAGGCTCTCTCACCAGCTTTGCTTCCAAGAGGGAGTTGGCTCCAGATGTTGTTCTCCTCTACAGCTTTACTCCATCCAACTATTTGAATCGCTCTTGGTGTGACCCCCCGCCCCTATTCTGAAGCCATGTTGCCATGGGTGACCACGCCAAAGGTCAAAGTCACAGGCAATTCAGAACTCAGGATCATGAGGGTAACTCAAACCCCTCCACCACATTAAGGTGGCGATTCTACGGAGGGGAGGAAACCAGCCGATTGCATCAAAGTTTCACTTTAATGCAATCCCCCATCCTGAGCAAGCACGGGGCGACAGTGGAGAGAAAATCCCTTTTTACCAGGACAAAGCTCTGGCAGAACCAGGCTTAGGATGGGCAGCCGTCTGCCTTGACTGGCTGGGGTTGGAGAGGACAGGAAAGAGAGACAAACACAGGAACACTTGGTAGGAAGATCTGCAATCTGAAAAATAAAAAATAAAAAACATGGAGAGGATGTAGTAATGGTGTCACCTGACGTATTAACCAATCTCAGGAAAACATACCTACACAAGCATGATGTACAAGTTTCAAGTAACCGAATATGGATGGGATTTTTTTTAGAGGGGAAAAAAACCGGTGCACCCGGAGAAAACCACTAAAATTACAAGCTGTTGTAGAATTGATGATTTCTAGAACTGAGGAGAAAGACAATGAAAATTATAGATTTAGTTTCCATAAGAGCACTCAGAGAAAAGCAAAAGTTAAGAAATTAACCGTATGGATATTGTTTCCATAAGAAGAAGACAAACTGCTAGAGACTGTGACCAGACCCCATCTCAAAACTGCATGGAAAGAAGGAAGGGAGGAAGGAAGGAAGAAAGGAAGGAAAGAAGGAAGGAAGAAATGAAGGAAGGAAGGAAGGAAGGAAGATGGGAGGAAAGAAAGAAGGAAGAAAGAAAGAGGGAAAAGAGAAAGGAAGGAAAGTAGGGAGGGAAGAAGGAAGGAAGGAAAGAATGTGTGGAGGAAGGGAGGCAGGGAGGGAGGAAGTAAAGAAGGAATAAAAATGGAAGCAAAGAAAGAAAGATGAAATGAAGGAAGGAATGAAGGAATAAAAGATGTAAGGAAAGATTGAAGGGAGGTAGGGAGGAAGAAAGGGAGGTAAGAAGGATGAAAGAAAGGAATGATGGAAGGAAAGTAGGAAAGAATGAGTGGGGGAGAAAGAAAGGAAGGGAAGAAGGAAAAAGAAAGAAAAAAGAATGAAAAGAAGGAAGTAAAAAAGCATGAAGGGAAGCAAGGGAGGGAGAGAAGGAGGGAGGGAGGACAGAAGGGAAGTTGGAAGGAAGGAAGGAAGGAAGGGAGGGAGGGAAGAAGGAAGGAAGGAAGGAAGGAAGGAAGGAAAGAAGGAAAGAAGGAAGGAAGGAAAGAAGGAAGGAACATAGGGAAAGAGGAAAGAAGGAAGGAACATAGGGAAAGAGGAAAGAAGTGTGGTTTAGAATTGTTTACATCAACATCAAAAAGGTTAAAATTTGAAAGTGAGGCATTCACTAGATGTATGTATGTGTCCATAAACATATGCATGTGTGTTCATGCGTGTGTGCGTGCATGTGTGTGTTGTCTATGAAAACCAAGGGTGGCCCAGCAGCTGTTCCAGGGTGGGACGATCCATAGGGTCAACCATCAGACACTTTGTCAGAACATCCTGGCAGTCTGGAGGGTCAGAGGTCAAACATCAACAATGAACTGAGCCAGAGGAACAAAACAGAACGACACAGAACAGATTTTTTTTGGTGCTGTGAGCTATGCTGATAAGTTCGTCTCACTTTTGGAGAGCCTCTTGCTGATCTTCAGCTTGTTTTTCAAGAAGCTGTGGGTGTTGAAGCGCATCTTGTGGACCACCTCGAACAGCACCACACCCAGCTGCCACACTGTTATGGGTTCAGCACAGTAGTTGCTGTGCATGAACCAGTCCAGTGGGAGATGTTCGGGAGTACCTTGAAGAAGTGTAAGAATAAGACAATCAGTAAGACGAAACAGCATTAATAAATGAGAAAGGACCAGGTTCTACAGTCCAATCTTACCACACAGTAGTTTATGTTTTCTTCTGTCATCAAAGCAGCTTAAACCAAAGTCTATCAGATAGACTTGTAGTCTTTTTGCGGTGGTCTCAATCAGGATATTTTCCACCTTAATGTCCCTGTGGAAGATGTTTGCATTCTGAAGGTAGAGCGCTGCTTCTACTAGCTGTTTCAGTATGATCTAAAGGAAAAACATCACATGGTCAAGAACAGCAGAGATACAGGTATAAGATAGTCTTCAGAATCTAATGAGTCTGTTTTTTTTTTTTGTTTGTTTGTTTTTTTTTCACATTTTGTCTCATTATAACTTCAAACTTCAGTGTGCAGTACATGGTTCTCTGGGAGACAACATTCTCTTTGTTAACGCCTGCAAGTCTTCCTGTGTATGCATAATAGCAACTCAAAGCTTTGCTTACTATTCTTTGGCATCTGATGTATCAAACATTGCTCTTTGAAATGCTCAGACTTTGATATTTTATAGCTCAACCCTCTAAGCTACACTCAAACTCCATCCCACAGCTTACCTTTGCCTCCTTCTCATTGAGACAACCTCCACGCTCTTTGAGATAGACCAGAAGGTCCTCAGCAAACATGGGCCGCTCCATCACTAAAATCAGCTCCTGATCCAGATCGTACCAGTCCAGCAGGGAGACCATGGCTAACTGCGGCACTGTTGCAGACCTCAGTTTCAGCATGATTACAGCCTCCATGGCCAGCTCCCTGCCGTTCTCATCCTGAAACATTCCAGCAAACATGAGAAACCCACCATCAGAATCAGAGTGGCTTTACTGGTTAAAACTGTGTGCATAAACAAATGATCTGACTGTGATGTTCAAGTGTTCAAAGCAAACTTTAAGAGAAATATACATCATGTGTATTTATCTGTTGCCAATATTTTAGATGGATAGTTAAAGACACAGATGGTTTGATGTGACAGTGAAAAACTGCTTATATGGTTCTGCTTGTAAGGTGTTCATTGTGATCATCGGAGAAAATAAACTCTTTCTCTGCAGTCCGGTTATTCCAAACAGTGTTCTGTAGCACCAACCAAGGTGAAAATTTACTCTAAACACTTTGTGTCCAGAATGTGTCGGATCTACAGAGATGTTAACTGCCCTTTGCATCTGGAATCCACTAAGAAGAAACACTGCTAATCACTGTTGCTCACTTACCTTATGTTTGATGACCACTTTGTCTTTTGGGATATGTTTGATAGCCACCTATTAGATAACAACAAGACTGTAGTTAGCATGTTAGAGAGACAATATTCTTAAAGAGATATTTAGTACGTTCTAATGTTAGATTCTTTAAAGTTATCAGCAGTAGTTTTCTAAATAACATATTAAAACATTGAAGTTAAAGTTGGTTGATGTTGTCTATGCCTCTTTTGAACTGTGACTAAATTGTATCAGCTGACTCTGAGATTACCAGGATGCTAACTACACGTCTCGGAAATAGCTCAGAACCTACAAATTTCGATGCTTTTCTGTCTCTATGTAAAGGTTCTGGGAGAGACCAAATATAGCGGGGGAGCAAAGCACTGTGACTTTTAGAATTTAATAATTGGATTAATATTTATAAGGGCATATTTAGAAATGAAATGATTGCTATGAAAGGAAGTGTTTAATATTATGTGAATATTTGTTGTCTTGTTTGGTGTATATATATTTTGTTTTATCCTGCTGTTGGGGGGTTGTGGATTGGTGCAGCCAGGGTCTATAAAAGCCTACAGGTTGCCCACATCAGTGTGGGTGTGGCTGCTGCGGAGACACATGGCCCAATGTCTGCAGGATTGTTTGTTTTAAATGTTGGGAATTAAACACCTGGTTGGTTTGCACCACATCACTCTACCTCAAGACTCCTCTTTTAAAGCCTGCTGCTAAGGGTCATTCTAACACCCTAAAAGTAACAAAAATCTAAATTTGTCCCAACTGATCAGACAGATTGATAAAGATGATCAACCATCTTTTTGTGGCAGAGAAAATAATGAACATGATAACAGCCTATCGTGAAACTGTACATGGTTACTGCCCACAAAAATAAAGCTGTATCCTTCATATGTGAACATTTTCATTTTGAGTCAATTGTATTGGCTAAAATCAGCTAAAACAGACAGTCAGTCTGACTTGATGTTAGCCTTCCACCTCTTTGAGGACTTTACGTCTTCTCTACAAACGTTGACCCTCACTGGCTTAAAAAAAATGATGAAGCAAGTGAACCTATGGATGTGTGTCTGCGCGTTTTGTGTGTGCCACTTACAGGCAATTTACCCTCAACCCGATATCCAGCAAACACAGATCCAAAACCACCATCTCCCAGCTGATGCAGCTCGATATACTTTTCCTGGAATTTGGCTAAAGTTTCACAAAGCATCAGAATAAAACTGTTCCATTATCACCACACCTTACTTTTGTCTCGTGAATGTGCCTGTTACAAATCTATCACTACTTAACTCTGACCTCTTTGAGTTAAGGAATCCACTCTTCTTTCCTCCATCTTCATCTTTTTCTTTTTTGGTGGTACCTCAAAGTCCTCTGCCGATGCGGGTCTGGAGATGGATTCTAACAATGAGGGTAAACCAAAGAAATAATGTTAGCCTTTTAACATTTAGAGAACAATGTCCAGATTGAAACATAAGTCTTAGGGTTTTTTCACACGTTTGTTCCACTTTCATCTGGTGTGGTTTTCTTCCACACGTCATTGAGTAAAACTAACTTTGAGCAACCTGTTCACTCTTCACCTGTGGTGGCGCTGCACCAAGAACCACTGAAAGAAACATCACTGAACGCAACTTTTTTCTTCACAAAATGTAAAGAAAACTGGAATGGGTCAGATTTATCTTTGGTCTTTGGCAAAAGACCATGAGCCATTTCTCCTGCCAGCACTAGACTCATAAGTTTTTTATTGGTTGTAATTACCCAAAATGCACTGCCTCCTACTTCTGCAGTGGTCTCTGGTCTGCTTGGTGTTAACATATACACCAGAGTTCACTTTAACCAATCCGAGGTTTGTAGGCGGACCATCGTTTGATTATACATGCACACCTCCCTAAACGAACCGGACTTTGTATGCAATGGGACTGGATTGAAGCGAACTGAACAGGGCTGGTGTGGATGTGCCCTTAAACAGGCTCATAAAGTTATCCTTACCTGCTGCACCTCTTTACATGTTAATATCACTAACTTCAACATATCTAATTACATTTTTCTGCAGATTCACAACACAAGGAAGGGCATAAACTGAAAAGGAAGTTTTGTAGAAGCAACATTTTGTGAAAGTACTGCTGCATATCACATAAAATCACAATAAAAAATAAAAGTTTCTTATTCTAATGAAAAACGTGTTTAATGGGTGTGAATGCTTTCACAACATAGCGTTGTTTATTCTTAGCAATATTTTTACTCTCTGTAACCGTCATCTGTTAGGACTCTGAGGAAAACAGCCTTTAGTCAGAGGCTTCTTGTGATACAGACTGCTACAGGAGATCTTTCCTACCAACAGCCATCACATTAATTAACTCATGTTAATTCATGTTGAATTAATATGAGTTACAGCATTTAATTTCTCTTTGGGATCAATAAAGTAATTTTTAATTTGTATAAATCCTAATAATCATGCTGAGGATCTGGTGTGAACTAAAATAGCTTCATCATAGAAGCCAACCTGAGCTGATGTCCCAGGAGGACGAACGTTCTTTGGGTCGAACCCTCTGCAGGAGTCTCTTCTTCTTCTTCTTGGCTGGAGGTGAAGATTCCTCTGCATTCAGTCTCCTCATTGTTCTGGTCGGGACCTGGCAGCGTGTGGAGGCTCCGGCCATCTGAGAGACCATGATCTGTCTTCTGGGGGTATCATCTGCAGCTTTTTTCCTTTTCCTTGGTCTGTTGTCCTCGACAGAGTCTGTGCTTGGTGACATCATCCCGCTGTTGCCCTCTAAAGTGAGAGACATCAGAAAAATAATGTGATTTTCTATGTTTTGTAGTTAGTCAAAAATTTAGTATTTATGTTGCCTCACATAAATACTATATGAGATATTTATGTGATCAAGGTGATCAAGGGGATTAGGATCCCTCTGATCAGGGATCCTGATCAGTGTTCCTGATCTGTGATCTCAGGGATCCTGATCCCTGGAAAAAGTTCCTGATCAGGGGGATCCTAATCCCCTTGATCACATAAATACCTCAACTCCTGATTTCCTGATCTCTAATCAGGAACGTTATTATACAAACTTAATTATTCAAACAAAATGTTTAGCTCATTTTCACCAAGACACATGCTTCTGGGTGAAACTATCACAGACTCACATGTCCCAATGTTTCAACAGTAAACAAGTCAGTAGCAGAAATCCTTTATGATAAAAACTCTAAATCTTTTAAGTACCAGGTAATGTAAAGTACATAGTGACGTGGATGTAAGTAACATGGATTTAATAAAAACTATTAAGTACACATTATTTTTTCTCACAAAAACCGAAACACAAACCATTTGTTGCTAATTTTTACTGAAACTCATGAACTCAGTTACCTCGTCGTCTCCTGAGGGCAGGCGTTTTTGCTTTCCTTTTACGTTCTTTGGCCATTTTTTTTCTTCAGTGTTGATCTCCACTTACAAGTGTTGGCAGTTTTATCTCTCGTAGTTACGTCTCACTCTATCAGAGATTTCAGACAGACTGAAATGAAATTGAATGTTGGCTTCTGACACCAACCAGTGTGACATCACAAATTACATTCCACATTTTGGTCATAAATGTTAGAATGGAGGTGATGTTGCTTAGCAGCCCTCTGAATTTAAAAATAAATAAATAAATACATTTAGAAACATCCCCAAAATCAAATATTCAGTGCCAGATTTTGAGTTATAAATTCCAAATGTTGGCACCACACAAACATGTTATTTATCTTTTATTTGCTGCAAAAACTAAAAATAGCTTAAACAACTGTTTTTGACTTAAAACTAAGTAAATCACAATTGTTTTCCTCATTTTGAATTATGACGTTTTTTCATAACCTTTTTAAAATTAGATTTAGGAGAAATGTAATATCTGGCTATTTCAAAGAATTACAAAGAATTGTATTTGATTTTCAGAATACTATTTCACTCCTGTTGTGATTTTCGTTTTTTGTTTGCCTATAGCTCAATGATGTTTTTTTATTTCATATTTTATCAGAACTGTTCATTGTGTGACAGTGATGATTAATGACTGGAATCTGTCAGTGAAGGATTTCCACCACAGATAAGCATCTCTTAAGATTTTTTGTGTCTTGTGGCATTTTAGACATGCTATATGAAGAAACCAGCTAACTCCCTGTGTCAGGCCATATTTATTCATATTCACTCTACCAAAAAGGTAGAGTGAATTGTTTATACTGTTTATACTTGCATTGTTTATAGTTGATGCACCACATCGGTTTTAGTTCTCTCCCTGGTGGTAATAACAATCTTTTCAGCATGTCAGTGTTTTTCGTAGGCCTTCTAATGAGATTTAAACCAAGGAGAGAAATAAAACATGCAGAATGCCAGCCTTTTCTGCCAGCCCTCCAGGATCCACTTTGGACACCACTGGCATATGATATGAATGGAACATTAGTCATTTCAGCCACTTTTCTAATTTATCTTTCAGGAAGTTATGGCCAGCTGTATTGTGTGTAGCACTGAAACCCATTAAAAGCCCTCAAAAAATGTTTTGATGTCTTGTAATCAAGACCTTTTAGATGTTTAACCAAGATGCAGGTGTAACCCAGGTTAAAGTAGCCTTCACTTAAATAAAAGCCTTTTCATGATAAATAGCTATAAAATGCATATGTAACGGGTAATAGATACAGATGAAATTCTTGCGAAAATATGTTTTGTAATTACCATGTGATGAATGGTTTTTTGCCGCCCCCTACTGGTTGCCTATAAATAGAAAGCTAAACCGTAAATTCCACGCAGTCTGTTCAGCGCTCTACTGTGATAAGTCACCAAATCCAGTTCTTTTCTAAACAGTCATAGTGGCTGTGCTCAAAGACTGACGTTGAGTTTTATTACAGTATGCGGAGAGTTGGTGGACCAGTAGTGGAGCTCACTGTGCTAATTTGTGTTGACCATTTATTACAGAAAATTCAACCAACTGGCCTCCTTTGTGTGTATGACGGGACGGGCATAAAGCGGAAGCTGTCACACATAAATAGAAAATATATACAGAATAAATAGGATTTAAAAAAGTTTAAAACAAATAAATAAAAACGATAATTACAGACAGTGTAACTAATATTCATGTATATTTTGTATATTTTGAATTGGCGAGTATATTGCTTTATTCAGCAATGAGCAAAGTTAAAAGAACTTTTGTTATGCTTGTGGTTATTAAACCAGACCTTTTTAAAGTTCTACTGGAAGCTGGACCGGGAAATTCCGAGCCGATTGCTGAATTGGATTCTGCTCACGAGAAACAAGATGGCGAGCCGTAACCCAGGAGCCCTGTAACTGTCGTCTATAGCAGGAGCTACGCCCTCTGCTGGACATTTTGAATCATCCAGACTGGTATGATATTCCCATGTTTCTTGCTAAGAAAAAGCGGATTCAAAGAAACGGAGATAACCCTTCAGGATCACCATAGAGGAAGACTTTGGTTTGAAGCACAAGTTATTTGTTTTTTTACTGGATTGTTCTGTTGTGTTTTATTTTCTTTTCTCTTTTGAACTGCATTCATTATACATTGTTGGTGTGGAATGTAAAATTTTCTGTTGGGTTATAATAGAAACAAGAAATCATTAAAATAGGAGATTAAAAACCCATACTTTCTTAAAAAGAACTAGATAACTAAAATAGATTTTAAAAGATTAAAATCAATTAGATTAACAGTATTAACTTGAACTTAAATAGAACTATAACCTAGGTTTAAATAAATAGTGTCCTTTACAACCTAACATTAGGTTTAAAAATTCAAACGGGGATTAAATAAATTATTCTGGAAGAACAGGGAACTATTTTGAATTTTATTTTGTGTCATTGTATGTCAACTGTTTGTAATAATATTGTTTTTTCTTCTTTCTCAACAAATAATAAGCCGGCAGTTAAATTTATTTTTCTAGTCTGTGGTCATTAACACACTTACACATTTTCTACTCCAGTAGCTGAACCTAGCATTGGTCCTATTGTTGTTGTTTTAACTGTAATCACATTGTGAGTGCTACACAGGCATTAGGCAGGCAGGGAGGGGAAAGTCAAGTTCACTTATAAAGTCCAGGGATGCATACAAGATAACAGCTACACACAGACCGGTGTGTGTAGCTCACTAACAAATCTGTTCAGGTTACAAATTTTCACCATTAGAATTTAATGTCTAATCCCCCTGAGCTATAGGGCCACCATGCACAAGCATATGCAGGACTATTTAAAAATTTAAAACAGTCTTTTTCTTTCCTCAGAGTTTGGACTAGAAGTGCTTTCATATGACATCTTTGGCTTTCACACATCACAGATAAAGGCTTTCTGCTTTGATCACATGGGATCTCAGGGGAAGGGAGAGTCAGGGGTCCTGTGGGGCCTGTTGAAGAGGCATCTTTTTTTTTCTTCCCAATGCTTTGGTCTTTGCTCTGAATACAGTCTAAGATCTAGTTTACATCCAGAATACTGGAACATTTTCAGAGGACCATTTGTTTATGAAGCCAAAAAAAAGGCTTGTAAAAGTGCTTACTGACGAACAACAAGTGTGACAAACAAGGAATATGAGATCCTAAAAAAAACTTCACATTTTGCATATAATTGTTGATCACATACATTTTAGTTTATGTGTCAGTCCTCTAGGATTTCTTCCTACTTTATAAAGACATGACTTTCTGACGCTGTTCATCTTCTGCTGACCAGAAAGAAGATAAATTAGGATTGATTTACATATTTTGCACAGAACTCTTGGTCCAAATCAGCATCAGCAGAACTCATCACTTATTGTAGGTACTGTAATAAGTAAGTACTGCAGTTATATAACTGCAGTACTGTATAAGCTTACATAAACTTTGCAAACATGCCTTTAATCTTCAGACTGAATACAACAGAAACTGTTATATAACTGCAACATGATGCACATGCAGAGGAAAGGTGCTTCTCCAGTCTACACAAAGGGACACATCTCCAGAAAGGACATCATAAGAAACAGTAGTGGATCTTTAATAGGTGAATAATGTGTTTCAAAGCTACAATTGTTTGCTTCCGATTCCTCTCTGAACTGGTCTCATATTCTCAGAGGGGTTTATCTCAGACTGATTTTATCTGCACTTCATGGAAGTGCACCATTCAATACTTCATAGCCAACGTCTGAATTTTCATTCCCTAAAACATGATCCTACCAATTGACAACTTATAGCAGATCAGAACTGTGGAACATAGGAGCACAGTTTGGACTTCACACACCCACCGAGCTGGACTTTATTCCTCCAGAGCTGCTTCGAACACCTGGAACTATGATCATTCCCCCCCTGCTGCGAAGGCGACGGAGGAGGCAGCGCAAACAAAAGAGGGGCAAGGCTACAAGCTAACCCTCACAGACCGGCCCTCCCCAGCCTCTTCCTCGCCAACCCCAGGTCCCTCGTCAACAAAATCGACGAGGTGCGACTCCGAATTATCTCTCGCCGGATGGACAGCTGTGTGACTGTTGTCACAGAGACTTGGCTGGATGAAAACATCCCAGACTCAGCGGTGGAGATAACGGGGCGCGCTCTGTTCCGGGCGGATCGGACGGCAGCTTCGGGTAAGAGCAGAGGCGGAGGTTTGGCATTGTATGTACACAATGCCTGGTGTACGGCCACACACTCTGTCGGCACATTCTGCTCTCCTGACTTGGAATATCTGGCGGTGAAATGCAGACCCTTCAAGTTGGTGAGAGAACTCTTGTCCATTGTGATCGTGGCCGTCTACATACCACCGCGGGCTAATGCTAAGTTAGCATTAGAGGAGCTGTACTGCCTGATCAGCGGGCAGATGAACTCCAACCCGGAGGCGGCCATGATTGTGGCGGGGGACTTTAACCACGTGGAACTGAAGGCTGTGTTTCCCAAATTCCACAAGTTCATAAACTTTCCCACCAGAGACAATAACATTTTGGATCAGGTCTCCTGCAATACCCCCGGAGCCTACAAGGCTGTAGCAGGTCCACATCTGGGCATGTTTGACCACATCTCAGTGGAGCTGATTCCTGTCTACAAGCCTCTGGCCTGCAGAACTGAGCCGACCACCAGAATAGTTCAGGTCTGGACTGAGGAGGCCTCCTCTGCACTTCAGGACTGCTTTGAGCACACAGACTGGAGTGTGTTCAGGGACGGAGCAGACTTGGAGGAATACTCATCGTCCGTTCTGTCCTATATTCAGTTCTGCACTGATGCTGTCCTCCCTGTTAAGACCATAAAAGTGTTTCCAAACCAGAAACCATGGCTGGATAGCACAGTACGGGCCCTGCTGAAAGCCCGGGATGCTGCCTACAGATCTGGAGACAGGTTGGCTTATAGCAGGGCCCGGTCGGAACTGAAAAAAGGAATTAAGCAGGCCAAGCTCCAGTACAAACAGCGGATTGAGGAACACTTCATCAACAACAACCCCAGTAGCATGTGGAGAGGCATCAGGACCATGACGGACTACAAACACAGCACTCAGCTGACCAGCCGCGACCCCACCCTGCC